ATCCAGATAGCGGAAAAAATCTGCAGATGTTCTGGGTGTGTATAACCTCTTGGTGCTTCCCTAGGATCTATGCCTATGCTAGCTAATGCTTTTTTCCAATGTGAAGCTGAATCCTGAGTTGGAAGGGACCCACAAGGATCATCGAGTCCATTTATTGCAGACATGAGCTAAATCCGTAGTTAATGTAAATCCAACCGTGTTGTCTAAGAGCGGAAAAAATCTGCAGATGTTCTGGGTGTGTATAACCTCTTGGTGCTTCCCTAGGATCTATGCCTATGCTAGCTAATGCTTTTTTCCAATGTGAAGCTGAATCCTGAGTTGGAAGGGACCCACAAGGATCATCGAGTCCATTTATTGCAGACATGAGCTAAATCCGTAGTTAATGTAAATCCAACCGTGTTGTCTAAGCCAGTGGGTTGCTCCTCTCTGCAGTCTGAACACCTGGGCTGTGTTTATCAGCACTTTGGTTGCTTTAATGCAGAAACTGTTGGTCAATACTATTGTGGTATGACGAACACCCTAGTGCTGGATCATAGACAGCTAAGTGACTTCACCTCTCTTGTGATTCACTTGATGTTCTCCCCCTTGGGGAATGTGCAATGGCCATGTGAAAACAGCATCAAGGGGATGTGACCTACGTGTCGCCTCACTGAAGTGTTGGTGGCCACACCATTTATCTCATGATGGAGGTGGAAAGTTTGCTCAGGAGTAGTGTGGAAAAATCTGGACTTAACCAGGAGAAGTACATTTATTGCTGTCATGCTCTGCTGCCTCAGAGGCTCATGGTCATGTGCAGGAAGGTGGATGCCCCATCCCTGGAAGTGTTCAAGGCCAGCTTGGATGGGGCTTGGAGCAACCTGGTCTAGCGGAAGGCGGCCCTGCCCATGGCAGAGGGCTGGAACTAGAAGATCCCTAAGGTCTCTTCCAACTCAAACCATGTGATTCTTTGATGATTCTATGAATGAAAAAGGCTTGATTTAGTTAACAGTTCCTGGGCTAGCTCTGGGTTACTTGTCTTGGGCCACTGCTGGCTCAGGTGGCATCAGCTCGCTCCCAACCTCCTGGTCCTGATCATCTGACACTCTGCTTACTGTCTGCAGAGCTGTGATTGCTAAATGTTCATGCTGTGCTAGTGCCAAAAGGCTGAGAGGAGCCATGTGCTAGTAGTGCAAGTCACATACCCAGGAGCTGTGTAGAAGGACACATGGCCCAGAACTCTGGGCCTGCATTCACAGGATTTGTGTTGGAAATAAGTGACCAATGTATTTCAATATAGGAAAATGTCTAGTTTTATTATTGTGACACTCTAATTTCATCCTCTGAATGATCAGGGCAGTATCACATACCTTTTGTCTTTCGTGTGATGGCCCTGACTTCTCTCTCTTGTTTGAAGCTGTGGCTGATGAAGCTGGGTACTATTTCTTCAATGGGAACTACAAAGTTGACAGCCCTAAGAACTTCAACATTGCAGGCACAGTGTTCAAGTACCGCCGGCCCATGGATGTGTACGAGACTGGCATTGAGTATATTGTTGCCCAAGGACCAACAAATCAAGGGCTGAATATAATGGTGAGCTTTGACTTTTCAAGTTTGCAAGGCTTGGGGTGATGAGGATGGGAAAATCTACACTGGATTGAAGAAGGGGTGGGCATGGAAGCAGAATCCTGCCATGGTTTCACCTGGGCAGCTTGAGGAGGGAAGTGGGAGCAGTGACTGTGCCCAATTCCTTACACAAACCTATTTTACTTGTGTTAGTCCTCTGGGATTCAGGCAGGGCTGTGAGTAATGAATGTGGGCTTGGTAACTCCTCTCTGCAGGGAAAAGATGCCTCAGGCACTGGGGGGGGATTTCTCTTCTACTCCTTGGCATTGTTATCCAAGTTACCTGGCAGGAAAATAAAAATAAGAAATTGGGCCAGAGAGCTTAGACAAGTGCATAAAACTTAAACCCCAATTCTTTCTTGAAAGCAAACCATTCAAAACTAGGCATTTGGAGAAAAGTCCCTTAATTTTCTTCTGGGCAGCCAGCCAGAGCCCAACTCCTGACATCTTCCATGTAGCCCCAGGCTCCTCTGGAAGGGGAAGGGATGGTTGCTTGGGTACTTATAAGACATTAGACCAGTAAAGGGGTGTAGTCCCTCAGCTGGGAGTCCCCATCCCCAGTGGGGATGTGGTAACTGAAGGAATGTGTGTGTGCTCCTTGTAAAGCCACAAAAAAATTACTTTGCAAGGGATGATCAGTAACTTCTGAACTGATTCTCCCTCTCTGGTCACTCAGTGGAGGAGGAGAAAGTGTGACCTGTGACTCCCAGTCCCTAAGCTGGGGCTAATCCCCAGGGCAGTGCAGCCAAATAGCCCTTGGAAAATTGTGCTGGGCTCCAGTTGGAAGAAGTTGGCAATATGAAGGAAAGCAGATTGGAAATAGCAAAGTAGATGCTCACCAACTGTCAAGTCCAAGATGAATCATAAGCTTTGTGTGCCATATATTCACTGCATCTGCTAATAACTTAATTTACTTGCTAGGTCTGGAATCAAAATGGCAAGAACCCATCCATCACGTTTGAATACACTCTCCTGAGGAAGCCACACTCAAAAAATCTGCAGCCCATCTACTACACCTTCTCCGAGTCAGATAGCGAAGAAAGCAGAGAATTTGATGGAGACGTGCCATTGGGTTTTATCCAGCACAATGCAACCTATTTTGGGAAAATCTCCAGGGAAAGGATAGACTTGGAGAACCAGGTGTTTGGAAGGCAGGACACGGAGGAAGATTTAAACTTGAGCAAAGGTCAGGAAACCAATGAGGTCTATGAAAGAGCAGAAACAATTGACTGTGAGCCAAAACTGAAGGGCAAACAACCCCAAGGTAAGGAGGAGACTTGGGCCTCACTGTCCTGCTTCTCAGAGCTCTTGTTGAGAAATGCTCTGTTTCTACCTCTGGTGATTCTGCTGGTTTGGAAACCTCGGAAAGTTCTCTAAAACATCTCCGCTCACAAATCCTCTTTGCCCTTCAGGTTCTGGTTTCTGGTGGGGTTGGGGGGTGGACAATGGGTAAGATCTCCCTGCTGGTGCCCTGCTGTGCTTTGCATCATGCCAAGGACAGGAGGGAGCCCTGGGTACACAAACCTCCCTGTCACAACATATTCTGTCACCTCACACCCCTCCACAGCCCCCAGCAACCTCCTTCCCATTCGAGTCCCTTGGGCATCCCACCACCAAACTGCCTTGGGTGCTTTCCCAGCATGACTGCATGGACTCTGGGGCCAGGAGGGCATCTTCCCTCTGCCCTCTGCTATTGCTTGGGGCAGTGCTGGTGGGTGCTGAGCTCTCCTCTGGCCACACCATAGTGGGATAAGACCCACAGAGCTGCACTCCCTTCCCTAGGGGGTACAACCCCAGGAGATTCCCCCTCCCCAAGCACCCAATTCCCCCTCCCCAAGAACCCAACTCCTCCCTCTCACCCCTCGGGTGGCTGCTCAGGCTCTGGCGTGTCCCTGCTGCTCTGGGCTGCTTTCCCCTCCCAGCCTCAATGCATTTTGTGGTTGTCACTGTTGTTTCCCCCTGTTGGCTCCAATCTAGATTCAAACGTAACCAGGTCTACTTACCAGACAGACCATGACGACAGAGACTTGGACCCCAGGTTCACCTCCAGGGAATTCCTTTTGGAGAATGCCATCACAGACAAGCTGCTGGACAAGACCTCAGACTCCAAGGAGCTGGTGCTCAACATGACCATGAACAGCATCTTTTCCCAGGGAGACCCAATCAACTCTGTGGGGTCACACATTGACAGCCTCTACGTTGACTATGAGGACACTGAAGGTGTTGTGACCTACTCCATTAACAGCACTTACATGGAGCTGAGCAATGGCAAAGCCACCAACACATCTGCAGAGACACCTTTTTCCAATGCCACTGTCACCATGAGCAGCCCTCAAGGGAACAGAACCCACAAAGCAAGGTAGGAGACATGTCTTTAATTATAGTCAATCCTATTTAGTGCAGTTCTTGACTCATAATAGCCCTGTTCTCAATGTAGACCCCATTGCCTGGTTTCTATTTGTTTTGGAAGCAGAAGGTAAGTGGGGGTAGGATGTTGCATATGAAAGCTTTCTGTTGGGAGTTAATTTGGAAGGAAGGGCCAGAGGTTTGGGAGCAGAAAGTGAAGAGAGCATTTAAGCAAGAGGAAAACTCACCGCCCTCCTTAGTGAGGCTGTTGGTGAGTCTGTGCTGATGTTTTGTCACTCAGGCATTGCTCTCTGCTGTCAGAGCTTGCTATCAGAGCCATGCCCATAAAGAAGCCTCTTCCTCTTGCCTTCTCTTGACATCCTGCTCCAATTCCACAGCCCCTTCCTTGCAGTTCTGATGCAGCAGAAGTTGGTCCTGGCCCCTTTTTACCCACCATGTTGATTGCCACCCGCGATCCTCCTCATTTTTGATGGCAGGAACATTCTTCCAGGAGCTCCCAGGCATGGCCCTGCCTGGCAGCTGCTAGAGAGGCAGAGCAGGGCACCAGGAGTTCCACTGTAGGTCCTGCAGGAATAGCCTGAGGTTGTTGCCTCAACAGCTGTGGCAGAAGGTAGTCACTGCTTGGCCAGGAATACCAAAAGCTCTGCAGTGGCAACTCATTGATTGCTATTGGGACTGTCACTTCAGAATGCCTTTAATGGTTGGTTTGAGTGGGAGAGTTATAGAATGCAGTGGGGAGGTAAAAAAAGGCTTAATCTAGTTTTAGCAGCAGATTTTGTTCAGAGAAGGCTGGAAGGGAGTCTCAGGCTAGTGCTGGTCCACAAGCCTCTATCTATCATCTTTTGGGGTGCCCTAGGGCTCAAAGAGGAGCAGCCTTTATTCCTAACCAGTGGGAGATCATTCCCATTGTGGACACACAGGGACTGAGATGGGGACCCCTCCTTCACGTGCAGCCACACACTAGAGCACTCCCTGGAGATCTTGAGCTGAAATCAGGGCCCTTGAGGTCATCTAGGACCCAAACCCATGGCTGTGGATTTGGGTCCCACTGTGCACCCCCACAGCACCTCAGCCTCCTGTGAATCTCCTCCTGGATCTGTAAAACATGGAATATGATGTTGAGCTTCAGGAGATGCAAAGCCCTGAACAGATGCTCTCTCTGGTTAGAGTTAGCTGGATTTACCCAGAACTTACACTAGCTTATGCTAAAAAAACTTATGCTAAAGAAACTGCCCATGCAGCCAAATGTATCAACAAACTTCTTAATGATAAGAGCATGAAAACGTTGCCAAGGGCTTGAATCTATCATCTCCTCTCGTGGCTTGGCTTGGGAGCATTGCCTTCAGCTGCCAAAGCAAGCATTTCATCAGCCCTCTGATGGCAAAGGCAGCACCATCAGCTCCCCTTACCATGCCCTGGGCATGAGGAAGGGACTGCCTTGCCCCTTGGGGTTTTCCTGGGCCCTGGCACATGCCCTGGATGTCCTCAGCTGCCACCTTGTCCCCCAAACCTCTCCCCTAACAGCTGTACAGTGAGGCCAGTGCTTTCCTTCCTCCTGGGAATACAGGGAGCTTTATACATCAGAGCAGCTTGGCTGTTACAGAACAATCATAAAATACTGTCAGTGGCTCCAGTGCATATTTTTTGAGCTCTAAAAAGCTCCTTGCACTCTCCCTGGCTGCCCATCTATTGAAGACAGGGATTTAAACCCTTTCAGGAATGATACCCAGCACTTTCATCTCTTCCCTCTTATTCCTCCCTGAATTTTGTTCTACAGTGTCTCCTCTTCTTCTCCCCCACTCTCTTTGGAATCAAATATCAACTTTTTAGATCAAAATGCTAATATCCAAGCCAGTTTTCTACCAGCCAAGAGGCTGAATCCAGGCCCAGCTGGGGCTGTAGCATGGGGCTGAGAGATGCTCAGCTCCTTGGTGGCCCCATCCCTTGCTGGGGGGCTGAAAGGCCAGTGGAGGCAGCTGGGGGTGCATGTGTTTGGATGCATGTCAAAAAAAAAGAGAAAAAGAGAAGAGGGAAAAAAAGAAGGCAACAAAGCAACTTGCACCTTGTTTCCAAGGGCTGGGATGGAAGAGATGCTTGTGCCCAGGCCTTCATTGCTTCCCCCAGCTTTTGATTTATTACACCAAGCCCAGTTGCAGTTGTGACACTAATCTGTATCTTCTGGGTGGGAATGCTTTTTATTTCTTTCTAAACTGTTGTAGCTCTTAGTGTGGATGGAGTTACCCAGTTACCCACCAGAGTTCCCTCTCTGGGAACAAGCCCCACTGGGATGGGGCTGAGTGAGTGGCTCTTGAGCCACATTAGGGATCCAGTGCTGCTTTTTCTCCCCTGGAGCAGTAAAAAAACTTTCTGTGGTGTGCTGGGACAATTCCAGGCACCCTTCATCCTTTATCTCATGCTGCAGTGTGCAGCCAGGGTTGAGCCTGCAACAGGAGCCATGAGTTTCCCCCTTTGCTTCGAAATAAAAACTGAAATAAAACACAGAAACATGAGCTCAGGGACTCTGGATGTTGATCTGTGGTGTTTGTGTGCATTAGTCCGGATTATTCCTCTGCTATGGGGACTGTTTTGGGAAGAGGGACAGCCCAGACCTCAGCTAGGGGTGAGGGACTGCTGCCAATTTTTGGTGCTGCTGTTGCTTGAAAAGCAGAAGCAAAGTGCAGGCAGGGAAGAAAAGACTTGACTTTGTTATAAAGCTTATAATAAAGAGGAAAGCTAAAATACAAGAGAAAATCCCCCCAGTTTTGTGGGACAATGAGCTGCTGTTTGCATCTAGAGGAGAACAAAATGACAGTTTTGTCTTGCTGGAAATGGTCAGAGCTGAGCACTGCCCTGTGCCCAAATGTCTGAGTCCTCTGGAAAGAACTTGTCCCTGCGACCTCATCAAGCATAGAAGCTCTTTATTTAGGATCACATACATTAAAGGGACACTGTTGAAAGGTTTTCTGTCCTCAGATGTGGTCTAAAGCTTATTTTGAAGATTTTTCTCCTTTCATGGGAGAGGAGTCCTGGGCACTGGTAATGTGATGTTTGCTTTGGTGCCTCAGAGCAGACTGAAAGATCTGGGTAATATTTTATTTCCCAGGGAATAGAGCACATGTTGACTATGTTTTAATGGATTTTACTGACAACTGTCATCTTGTGAGCCCTTTCTCTGGCTGGGTGGCACACTCCCAGCACTAGGGGCTGGTGTGGGTCCCCAGGCAGAGCTGCTGTGGCAGATCAACCACTATTTATAGTGAGCTGAGGTTGTTATTTTTACACATACACACACACAAAAAAAAGTCACATTCAATTCGGTTCCATTTCAAGTGCAGGAAGTGACCATTTGCCAAACTGACAGAGGCAAAATCAACAGGGAAAATGAGATTGTTGTTGTTTTTAATCCTTCTGGAGGCTCAGTGCTGGCGGTGGAAGGAGGGTGGGTCTGAAAGGAAATGGCTGGATTCTCAACAGTGTCCTTTTAAAGGTTGATTCGATAGGCTGGACCTCAACTTTTTCCTTCCAAACAACTAAATAAGGCAATTTCAGAGCTTCTGCTGCCTAGAAATCATACAAGCTGCATATCTTGCCAGGCCAGAGACAACTGGATGTCAGGATACAACCTTGTACGCTATTCCAGTGTAGCTGTTTCAAGGGTTTTGAACAAAGGTATGAGAACAGAATCGAAGCCTTTTGTTGTAAAGGTGCAGTATCCCTGATGTGTTATACCCTCACAGCATGTAGGATGCACTGAAGCTGCTATTCTTGGTTGGATAAATGCTTTGCCATACACCAGGCTGACTCTGCTACTCCTTTCCCCATGGCATTTTGTGTCTGAGCACAGCACGGATCTGAGAGATGCAAATCACCTACCTAAAAATAAGACAAAAATAAACCAAACCAAAACAAGAGTGGCAAAAGCAGCAGGGCAGGCAAGCTCCTAAACTCCTGTGCCATGTGTTGGCTGTCAGAAGGAGTGAGCTGTGGAGATTGGAGCAGCCAAAATCTTTGCTGCATTGAGCAGCAGAAGTCATTGTGCCCAGCCCTGGAGACACAGGGGAGGAGATACTGCACCTTTAGTCACTGTATGCCAAGGGCCAGGTGTATTTGAGCAGAAAAAATGCAAACTTTGTTAAATTCTGAACTGTTTCTACTTTTGTGGGTATTTTTATCCCATTCTCTCTATTTCTAGACAGTGGAAGCTCTGCCTCTAACCGGGCTGGGGATTCTACTTGGGGCTCAGGACAGGTATGTTGTGAAACAAACGAAATAAATTGATTCAAACGAACAAACTTCCCAAAAAAAAAAAAATCAATCAGAAAAACCAAACCAAAACAAAGCACATCCCCTCCCAAACCCAAACCCAACCAAACTGCAGCCAGATGTGTGTGTCTGTCGTGGCCTGTCACCGCTCGCCTTGTAAATGCCTTGTTTTGTTTTGTTTTGTTTCTTTTTGTTTTGTTTGCTTATCGCTAGAAACAGATTGAAGTTGTTAAGAAAGGGCCAAGGTGTGAGTGCTGCTGACATGTACAGGTGGAAGCTTTCCTCCCATGAACCCTGCAGCTCTACATGTACCACAGGTAGTTATATACGGAGCAGACGAGCTCTGCACAACTGCTGAAATCACTTGGGGTGTGAGTCATTTTTTTCTGTCTGTTAGGGATGGGAAGGACCTGGTGATGTGTGTAGGGGAACTGGTGATCTCTGGAGCTGGTTTAGCATGACCCCAGATCTGCTCTGCCTGGGTGTAAAGGTGGGGAGAGGAGTCAGAGGCTGTGCATGCAATGCCCACAGACCTCCCAGGTGTGTTGAGGTCCAGAGTTTGTGCCCAGCATGTCCATCATCCTGCAAAACACTCTCCTTTTAGGGAGCTCTGAGCATTGCCTTTGCTTCCCATCACTTCACGTCCCTGCTGAGGCTCATCAGGATCCCCAAACTTGTGCTGAGTCTCCCCTCTTTTTCCCCTTCCTCCCCTTTTTAACAGCTCCAAGGGGTTTGAAAAGCTCAGCTGCTTCCCTGCAGAGTGAAATTTTGAAGATTGTTCAGCCCTGGCAGGAAACACAATAGCACTTGGCTTTTTGATTGTGTTTTGTTTCTCCCACTCCTTCTACCCTGGAGCCTGATCTCGGCTGTGAGGGTGTAAATCTGGAGCAGTGACATAGATGCCAGGGATATCTAAACTGAGCCTGGAGTCTTTTTGTATAAATTACTTCTTTTTGGCTCTTGAAAATATTCGAGGTACCTGATCTCTCTCCTCCTTCACCCCTTGGTCAGGAGGTGCTGGCCCTTTCCCATCCCTTGTGCTGAAGAAGGTTCTGTGGGTCGTGTGCTCCCTGACAGCACTGTCCCTGAAATAATCCAGATCCTGCAGTGCTTCTGGAATTAGAAGGAAAAAAGGGGGAGAGAGGAGTTTACAATCTAAAGGACATCTCTTAAATGAGCAAATGCAAGGATTTTATATTTTAAGCATTTATTCTTGTCCAGCAGACACATTTCCACTGCAGGAGCTTTGAGATCTGTCCCTTTCCCCAGGATCTTGTCATCCACATGGCCCAGGACATTTTTGACTTCTTTGATCCCCTCTGAACAAATTTCTCCCTTGACAGGGCCAGGCTTCTCTGCCTTGGTTTGCAACAAGCTGAGAGAGGTTTTACTTAAATTTCTTCTTTCTCATTGCCTTTTCTTAATGACATATCGCAGAGAAGCAAGACCATGTCAAGAGTTGTAGATCTTTTTTTAGTTTCATGTAAACCATATGTTCCTGAGAGCTGCAATTCTTGTTACCTGTAGCCAGAGCAGCCTCCTGGTCCCCAGCCAGGTCCCAGAATGGACTTCACAACATTTACTCTGGCACAGGAGGCTGTGGGGGAAAAGGTCTCGGTCTGACGACACTGGCTGCCTGTGCTTTTGGTGGGGGAGCAGGAGGGGCAGGTGCTTCCTTGCCAAGCCTCCAGGAGCCCTGCCTTGGCCTGGAGTGCTGGATGCACCTGGGGAACACCTGGGTGCAAACAGGGTGTAATGCATAGAGAGAGTGGGTGGATGGTGTGGGTTGGGGGGGACCATTTTCTGTTGCCTCCACCCACAAGACCGGCAGGGTGGGAGATGCCAAGCAGACTTGTTGCCCTGAGTGTTTCCTATAAAAATGTGTTAGTCATGTATTGATCTTGGTGGCAAGCCCTGGCACGGGTGGCCATGCCCACCTTTGAGCTGACCAAACTCAACCACACTGCTCATGTTGGCTGGGTGGCCACTGTGGTCCTGCCCTCCCAGCAAAATCCATCCCATGGGACAGAAAGTTCAGCTGTGGCCACTGTGGTCCTGCCCTCCCAACAAGATCCATCCCATGGGACAGAAAGTTCAGCTTTGCTGCTTCCCACTGGGAGGAAGTTTTGTAAGATGCTGGTTTGAGCCAGAGCTGTGGGTTTAAATTCTAAAAAAGAATTATTCAAAAAAAAGAGTTTGGATGTCAAAATCACCAAACGTCCTGTTGTGTGTGTGTGTGTGTGTTCTCTTTGAAACTAGGAGTGATGTCCACATATGCGATGTGTGTTCGCTATGATGGGATCGAAGTGGATGATACATACTGTGATGCCATGACCCGTCCTGAGCCCATCCATGAGTTCTGTGCTGGGAGAGAGTGCCAGCCAAGGTACTGCCTCGACAGGGCACTCCTGGGGAGCTCTGTGCTTTCTCTGCCATGGATGATTTGGGGGAGGAGGTGTGGTGTGAAGCACAGGGTGTGCTTGTTGGGAGGTTTGTGAGTTGCAGCAGTTATGACCAAGACAGACCTGTGTCTGTCTAATGGAGGGGATTGTCCCACTCTGCTCTGTGCTGGAGAGGCCTCACTTTGAGTCCTAGGGGGCAGATTTGGGTGTCACAAAAAGTTATAAATCTATTAGAGAACATCCAAAGAAAGGCTACAAAGATAGTGAAAGGTCTAGAGGGGCCAGACAAGGAGTAGCTGTGGTCACTTGGCTTGTTCAGCCTGGAAAAGAGGAGACTGAGGAGAGACACATTGCAGCTTCCTCACAAGGGGCAGGGACTGATCTCCGCTCTGAGGGAATGGCACGGAGCTGTGTCAGGGAAGGTTTAGGCTGGATATCAGGAATAAGTGGTTCTCCCAGCAAGTGGCTGGGCACTGGAACAGACTCCACAGGGCAGTGGTCACAGCTTCAAGCCTGCCAGAGCTCATGGAGCATTTGGACAACACTTTGGGGTACATGGTGGGATTCTTGGGGCATCCTGTGCAGGGCCAGGACTTAGAGTTGATGACCTTTGTGGGTCCCTTCCAACTCAGGATATTCTGTTCTATGATTGTGATGGTATCAGACTATGGACAGGGCAAAAGGAGGAGTAAAGCTGTAGTATACGTGCTCTGGAACAGTGTCACTAGTAAACAGTGCAAAGCAAGAGTACAGTGATGCCAGGGACCAGGTATGGCACCTGGCTCCTGGAGAGAGCTCAGGGGAGTGTGAGCTTCACATGTTAAGGCTGAGAGCCAGGGTAGGCTGCAACTGAGGCAAGTGTGGGGAGGTGGATGGTGGTGTTGCTGGGGACACAACTGCCCTGGGGCACCAGGGGTACTGTAATCTCTGTCTGCAATAACTTTTTAGCTGGCAATGCTTTCCCAACAGAAAGCACTAATTTTGGCTGATCTGAATGGGACAGACTTGGGTTTCATCTCCCTTCTGAATTCGGGTGACACCCCTAAATGTGTGACATCTCCCTACAGCTGCTTGTCATGCCTGGAGAATTGCTATAATGTTACTGTGCTGTAAAAACCTTGACTTCTTATTTCTTTTCCCTTGGTTTAGAAGCTGCTCCTCTTGTCTAATGTCAAGGCAATAGTAGCAGGGGGCAGTAGGACACAGGCAGTACTTGGAGCAGATCCCAGCTCTTCCAGCCTGTCACATGTGGTTAGCAGAGTTAGACTGATGGTGGGACATGAATGTCTGTCCCACTGGGGCTGAGGCAGCTCTGTGTGACATTATTGCTGGGATTTGCAGGATGATGGATGGTTGTGTCCTCTCCACAGTTTAGCTGAACAGGCAAAAAAAAGAGAGGTCAAACCTGGGCAAAAAGCATGACAGAGAAATGTGCCAGGGTCACAGGCAGGGAGTATGCAGCCTGTGGTGACAAGGGCTCACTTGCCAGTGAGGATACTGGGCCAGGCCTCACTGTGCCATCCTTCCTCTTGGCAATCTGGTTTTTGCATCTGCTACTGTGGGCATGAGCAGGGGTGAAATCATCATATATTCATACAGTCCCATCCCTTAGGAAAACCTCTCACATCCCATGGGGAAAACCTCTCTCATGCTAGCAGCCTGACTAGAGCTCATTGCTGCTGCAGCCAACTCCTCCAGCCGAGAGCAGGCAGGGCTGTCCCATGGGATGCTTTGGTCGTGGTCCAGCCTGGTGTGATGACCTCTCCTCTCTCTGCAGGTGGGAAACAAGCAGCTGGAGTGAGTGTTCCCGCACCTGTGGGGAGGGTTACCAGTTCCGCATCGTCCGCTGCTGGAAGATGATCTCCCCAGGATTCGACAGCTCCGTGTACAGTGACCTCTGTGAGTCTGCTGACATCACCCGTCCGGATGAGCGCAAGGTCTGCAAGAATCCTGCCTGTGGGCCCCAGTGGGAGATGTCAGAGTGGTCTGAGGTAGGTCCCTGGGGCTGCTGGCCTGGTGGTGCTGAGGGTCAGCATGTGTGCCTGAGCTTCTGTTCCTTTGCTGGTTCAAACTCATCCATAGCCATCAGGGACTTGGCCTGTCAGAACATTGACTGCAGTCGTTGCATGTGGGTGGACCAACATGCATCAGTAATTTGTTTCCAAATATGAAGACCTGGGTCTCATCCAGGCTGGGGAGGTCACTACCATTGGTCACTCATGGGATCTTTGACTGCATGTAGGGTCATTGCTCACTGAGGTAGAGCAGGAACCTGTGTCTCAGATCCTCCCACCACGACTTCTTGGCAGACTCTTCAACCCTGAGGTACCAGGGAAGAGATCTCACCTCACACACTTATAAACTTCCCTTCCTTGCTTGCAGTTTCCCTGCACCACATGAAGAATTAAATCTTCTCCTATCCATGCCTTAAGCTGATCCCTGAATACTTATAAACTTCTCTTCCTTGCTTACAGTTTCTCTGCACCACATGGAGAATTAAATCTTCTATCCATGCCTTAAGCTGATCCCTGAAGCCACTGGGAGATGATTTGGGAGGGCACAGTGCTGCTCCTGTTCTACCTCATTGGTTTGCTTGGGAAAACCTATGGGAAGGCTTTGTGCCCTTGAATTCCTTTCCAGGCACTGACAGAGCTCCAGCACATCCCTTACAAATACAAACCCATGGAAACAATCAAACTAGTGCTGCTTCCTTAGGGTGCCTCTTCCCAAATCAAGCACAGACCTCGTCTAAGCAAGAGCAGACTGAGCTCTGAGCTGAGCTGTCTGTGGGTGCCAACCTGCCCCATGGTTTACATCATGAGGAATATGACTCTTCCTCCTGGGAAGCTCCCAAAACTCTTCTTAGTCATAATTTAAATGTCTCCATTCCTCTGCAAGCTGGTGTGCATCATTTCCCTGGAGCTGATGGAGGGGCTGGTGCATTCCCTGGTGGTGGAGGATGTTTTGACTTTCCCAGCTGGGTAGAGAGGAGCTCCCTGAGCACATGCTGGCAGGTTATTTTGTCCGACGTAGCAAACCAGAGTGGCTTATTTTACAGAAATCTGCATTCTCCTCCAGCGTGTGTCAGGGACAGATTGCTTGAGACAGTCCTGGAGTAGATTGTTCTTAGCCAGCAGCAAAGCTAATCTCCTTTGGATCCCATCTGAGGTGGGGTGCCAAGTTGGCTGGGGAAATAGGCATTAAAAAAAAGCACATTTCAGGGCTCTGAGGATTAACATCTCGGCGCGGTGCGTCTGAGCGCTGTGCTGTTGACACTTTTCCCTGCTTTACGTTATCCATGGAGCAAATGTGTGTATGTGAGACTGTAGTAACTCAAATCCAGTTCTAAATAATGTCACTGGGCTGCACAGTGCCAAATTTATCCACAGCCTAAAAATCTCAGTTGTGCAGTTTGGGGGAAAACATTCTCCAAAGAGGTGGAAAGGAGCTGGCTGTTCCCGGGAAGGAGGCGAGGGGGATCTCACCCTGTCTCTAAGTGACAGCTAAAACTCTTCAGCTCTGATCAGGCATTTCTGGAGCCTTGGGTTTCCACCCTCTGGCATCACCTGTCAGAGAGCACAGCACTCAGGCAGGATACAGCCCTCCTTAAGCTGAGGGCTGAAGCTGTTGAGGAGGTTTGGGGAAGAGTCATTGCGCATTTTCAGCGTGTGCTTTTAGAGTTTCATGTTAGAACATGAAAAAAGCCAATCCTAGCAGCTCCCAGTTCCCATCATGGTGGGAGCTCTGGTTGATGCTGTTCTCTGTCCTCTCCTGGCAGTGCTCAGCCCGGTGTGGAGAGCGGAGCGTGGTGACGAGGGACATTCGCTGCTCGGAGGAGGAGAAGCTGTGTGATGCCAGTGTCCGACCCCTGGCTGAGAAGAACTGCACTGGGCCTCCCTGTGACCGCCAGTGGACTGTCTCTGACTGGGGACCGGTGAGATCCCAGGGTGGCCAACTGTGTGGCCATTGTGGCCCCTTGCAGCTGGCCCTGAGTTCAGTCTCCAATGCTGAGAAGCTTAGGGCTGGGCTTGTCCTCCCTGGCAGCTCCTTTCTCCAACAAATCTGCAGACAGTCTGTGCCTGGAGCTGACCCCTAAACAATTCCACCACTTCTGCTCTCCTACTTCCAGTGTCACCTCTGCCACCCCAGTGGATCCCATGGCTTCCCCCTAGGTCCTCCCCAGGTCTCCCTCCTTGCGGAAGAGTTAAACCCTGAGACCTGGCTGAGGGCCTTAGGAGGTGTCAAAATCCCCTTGTCTGTCTGCTGCACAGCATTCCTTGGTAATGCTGATGCTCCAGGCCAAGAAAATGAACCTTTTCCTTATTTTAACTCCCTTTTTTCTTTTTTCCTTTTCCTTTTTTCTTTTCTCCTTTTCCCCTTTTCACTTTTTTCCTTTCCTCCTTTCCCTTTTTTCCTCTTTTTCGCTTCTCCTTTTCTCTTTTTTTTCTCCCACCACTTTTTCCCTCTCTGCTCCAGAGACCCCCTCCATCCCAAGCTATTTTTACCCAGGTTTTGATACATTCACATCAGCTAAAAATAAGTAGTTTCCATGGCAGCAGAGACACTCTGAAACACCGAGAGTCTCCGCAAGAGCGGCCGCGAAAGCGCTGGGGAGCGCTGGCTGCTCTGGGCAGAGTCTGTCTGGCCCTTGGCAGTGGGAATGGAATATTTGCAGCCACTTCTTTGGTCCTCTTTGCCTTGACCTCAGGGGTCTCTGCTTGTAGTGCTTCTCCTCCTCACTTCCACAAGAGATGCTGAGTGTTGCTCAATACGATGGGACCATGACACTGGCACAGGTTGCACTAGAACCTGTGGCTGCTCCATCCCTGGAAGTGTTCAAGGCCAGGCTGGATGGACCTTGGAGCAACTTGGGCTAGTGGAAGGTGTCCCTGCCCATGGCAGGGGATTGGAATGAGATTAAAGTCCCTCCAACACAAACTATTCTAGGATTCTCTGGTGATCCAATCTGTGTTGGCTGTGATGGGGCTGCCAGGGAAGGATGCGCTGAGCTTCCCTGCAGATATTTTAAGCTGACCCCAAATAATCCCCCCGTGATTTGGGAAGGGTGAGGTTGGGGAGGCAGCTGAGCTCTGTGGAGGTACCTCTGTCCCACTGTGGGATGGGGACAGGGCTGGAGCTCTGCTGCCTCCCCAGCACTGACTGCCCACCATGCCCGCTGTGGTTTCAGTGCAGCGGTGGCTGTGGGCAGGGCAGGATGATCCGACACGTGTACTGCAAAACCAGCGACGGGCGAGTGGTGCCAGAGTCACAGTGCAACCTGGAGGCGAAGCCACTGGCCATCCACCCCTGTGGGGACAAGAACTGCCCCTCGCACTGGCTGGCACAGGACTGGGAGAGGGTAAGTGCAGCACTCCCTGGAGCTGCAGTTGGTTTTGCAGGGTGATGGAAAAGCGATGCCCTTGGTGGGTTTGGGGTGGGATGTGTGGGTCTCATCCAGCCCCACTCATACCCCTGCAGTGTAACACAACCTGTGGCCGAGGTGTGAAGAAGAGGATTGTGCTGTGCCTGGAGATAGTCAATGGCAAGATCAAGACTCGAAACCCTACTGACTGTGACGTGGCCAAGAAACCCATGGAGGAGACAACATGCTTTGAGCGGCCGTGCTTCAAGTGGTACACGACCCCCTGGTCAGAGGTGAGTGGACAGGGTGCCAAGGGGGAATCTGTGGGAGGGAGATGGAGGGGAAATGCTTTTCCTTTAAGATGTGCTTGCCCCAAATGTATGTAGCCTTCTTGCCTTGTACCAAGGGTCATGCTGCCTGCAGAATCCCCTGGGGAGATGGGTGAATCTCTGCAGGAAACAGCCCCCAGGGAGCACCCAGGGGGTCTGTGTGCCCTGCCACAGAGTGATTGGCACCAGCTGTGCTGGAGGGAACAGGAGTGAGAAATGCCATTTGGGGTCAACTTTAACTTTTTTCTTTTTTTTTTCTCCCTTTTTTTCCCCCTTTTTCTCTCTTTTTTCCCTGCAGCCACTGTTGGGAGTGTGGATGGGGATGTGTAGAGTGGCCACAGGGTTGCTGCCCTGGGATACAGGGGTTGGGGATGCAGAACTTGGGGATGTAGTTTGCCCCAGCATCCTGCATAGCCTGCACAGGCAGGGTTGGATGGTTGAGGGGCTGAGCCCAGTGAGTGTGGGTGAGGAGCTGTGAAGGGCTGTGAACAGCTCCCTGCAAGCCCTCCCAAATGCAGCCTTCCTTGTCCGTGCTCCAGGCGCCTCGTTTTGTTTAGTCTTGCAAACCATCATCACAGCCTATAATTAGCCAAAGCAGCCCTGCTGTAATCCCAGCCTGATGAGGCATCCAAAGGGCAGCAGGCAGCGAGTGCTGGGCCCAGCAGCGGCTCCACAAACCCACAGTGGGATGTGCAGAGATGCCAAATCTGCAACCTCATTCCTGGGGTGCTTTGGGGGTCCCATGGTCCCACAGAGCAGTGTATGCACTTGTCCAGTTCATTCATGGCCCCTTGCAAAGGGATGGTGGCACTGCCAGGGGATGGGACCGCATCCATCTATCCCTGGGCAGAAGTTGATGGTGCTGGCAGCAAAGGTGGAGCAAGGAGCCAGTGGTGCTGCACTGAGGCATGACAGTCAGGGAGAAAAGTTCTCCTGCTCTCACATCTCCAGCAAACATGTATTTTTAGCAGGTTCTGGCTCAGCACAGCCCCTTATGATGTCAGGGTGTTTCCTAATCCCCTCTCTCTGTTCCCCAGTGCACGAAAACCTGTGGAATTGGTGTGAGGATGCGAGATGTGAAGTGCTACCAAGGGAAGGACATCGTCCGGGGCTGTGACCCCTTGGTGAAGCCAGTGGGCAAACAGACTTGTGACCTGCAGCCCTGCCCCACAGAACCCCCAGGTGAGCCCCACCACTGGCAGCACTCCATGGCCTTGATTTTCCATTGATCTTAGCTTCCACCATCCCCAGTTGGATAGGCAACCCAGTAAGGATGTACAGGAAAAAAATCTCCCTCTGTGCCCAAGTAATGGGATGGAGGATGTACAGGAAAAACTCTCCCTCTGTGCCCAAGTAATGGGATGCCATGCACTGGCTCTTTCTGGAGGTAACCCCATAAAATTAAGGGGGGAGTTCAGAAGAAGCATGCTCTGACCTTAAGATAAAATGAATCATTGGAGAGCTGACACGAGTGCTGCTTCTGCATGATTCCAGCTAAAGCCTAGGACGTTTCATCTGTGCCATTATTTTAATGATTTTTGGTCTCCAAACGTCCTGTGGGATTTGTAACTATCTCGTTATCTGACTCGTCTGCTGGCTCAAAGTCCCTGTGATCTTTAGCAAACATGCAGTTCTAATCCTTTAATAGGATTTGGGAATAAGGAAGGGGTGGGAGAAAAGCATGAAAGCGGGAGACAGATTTGGGGCCAGCTCCTGGCTCACTCTGCCCTACTGGGTGCTCTCAGCTACCTACTCCCATGGGATCCAGGATGGAACATGGGTTTGCCTCATGACCAACTTGCAGGCAGCTGCTTGCCCTGGGAGCAGCTGGTTTCATGCATCCCATGGATTTTTACCAAAATATTTATATAAAAGTGTAGATTCTATGGGTTTGAAGCAAAATACTGCTCTGAAGGGAGCTGGGAAAATGCTGCAGTGGGCATTTTCTGGACTCTTCTCTGTCTCCAGCATCCCATTTACCCCCTAACTTCACTGTGACATTGGTAGATTCCCATTCCCTTTCTCAAATAGCCTCTTTGGGGAAGAAATCGTGTGTATTTTGGAGTCACCCTGTGCCCTACCAGGGGAGGCCCTTGGCTTGGGGGCAGCTAAGTGCCAGGGTCCCTTGTTGGCTCTAGAAATCCCTGGGAAGCTCCATTTTTTGTGGGGATGAACGTGAGCTTCAGGGCAGGGACCAAACAAGACTCTCCAGGCCAAGTCAACATGTTTGTGCCTTTGCTCAGGTTGATAATGATATTTATAGGGAAGCTCCATGGTGTTTTCTAGGGATACTTTCCCAGGTATCAGGAATGAGGTGGCTGCAGATGGGGTGAAGCATTGCTCAGCCTGTGATGTTTAGGATAGTGTGTATGGAGGGGGAAATGAGCTCATGAGCTTGCAATGGTTTCTTTTCATATTTCTTTTCACATCATGCCTTTTTTCTTCTCTCTCCTAGACGACAGCTGCCAGGACCAAGCAGGAACCAACTGTGCTTTGGCCATCAAAGTGAACCTGTGCAGCCACTGGTACTACAGCAAAGCCTGTTGCCGTTCCTGCCGCGCTCCCCACTCCTAGTGCTGGCAGTGCTCCCTTAGCAAGGGCTCTGTGTTCCACTTAGCAAGTACCACCCCTCCCCCAGACTGGGGTTAAGGATTGCTTTGGGGTTGGTTTTTATTTCCTCACTGCTGCAGAACTCCTCTCCTTGCCCCTCTCCGCAAGGCTGCTGGACATTGGGAGCTCCCGTTCTCAGAGCTGTACATAAAGTCGTGTATATTTGATTCCCCCCCTCCCCAAACTGCAGACACAGCAACATATTTTACAAGGTCCTTTGGTTTCTTCCTTCTGTGCAAGTTTGGGGAAGGTGTGAACTCTGAGAAGTGCAAGTTTCCCTTCTCAAAGGGGTTAATGCCCTCTCCTAATTTATCCCGAGACCTGTGTGCTCTTGTTAGCTGCATTTAAATGTGGTGGGAAGCTGATTCTTGTTTGCTAAATGAACTCAAGCCCTTTTTTTGTAAGATGTAGGTGTATACTTTTTCAGAGAATTTTATCTTATAATCAAATGTTAGTTCCATAGTCCTTACCAACCCCTCCCCTGATGCTGACATATTGTATATAATATGGAAACATAACTGCACTTTATATCACAAAAAAGACGTGTTCTTTTTTAATATATTTGTTTACAGACAGTGAACTTTATCCATATAATCATTAATTTGTACTCATATGTATATTTTAATAAAGTTGTCATATTTATGGTGGTATTTTGTTTTCTTCTCCAGTTTGTAGGGGGATGATGGGAATGCTGGAGTTGGGACTATGAACTTGCTGGTGCCCAGGGGGAGCACAGCAACATGAAGTCAGGACAAATATAGCTGCTTGGACAGTGATGCAAGTAAAAGTCCCAAAAATAGAGGAATTTTGGGACCATTGCCTTGAGTTAGGGACCCTTTGGAGTTGTGTGTGTGGCTTGAGGAACTTCAACCCTGGAGCTTTGCAGCTTGCAAGCAAAGAGGCTTGATATAATGCCAGGAAAAGGGCCTTTCCATGCTCCCAAGGGGGTTATTGCTCCATGTTTTTCCAGGTTTGACATCCCAAGGCCAGGCCTAATGCTCTTTAGCATCCTCCAGCTAATGCATCATGCCCCTCAGTAGCAGGGAGCTCCTATGCCAATGTGAAAGCTTTGCAAACAACACCTTGGGTTTGAAAATGCAAGGACAAAAAAAAAGGTCTCAAAACCCATGTCAAAGTAGTTTATTTCTTGTTTTTTTGCCTTTTCAAAACTTTTTCCCTCCCTCTTAGATTCCCAAAGTCCTGTACAACAGATCACCAGGTGAAGGTTAGTGAAAGCCAACCGTTTGCTTAGTCTCCAAGCTACAAGGGAAAGAAATAAGGGAAGAAAGGAAGGCTGGTAGGAGAAGTATGAGAAATGCAAAGAGAAGGGCTCAATGCATGGAAACAAACCCCGGTGCAAACTGTACACAGGAGCAAGGCCCGAGTAACTGTGTCCCCCTGGAGCAGAGGCATCATGCTCCTGGGATGTGGCACCACAGGGACCAAGCTCAGAATATTTAACACGTAGGAACCCATCCCTGTCCCCCCACCCCAAACAGAACCCTCCCGAGAAAGTCAAAGATACTCATTTGCAAAGACTGACTTGTACTTCAAAAGATTTCCTGTGGAATTAAAAGCCCTCGTGGTTAAAAGAAGAACACCCAGCCAGGCTGCATACAGTGTCTGTGAGCTGGAGGGGCTGGAGCCACTGCTGCTGCTTCCTATCATATCCTTCAAAAGGAAAGCTGACCTGGAGCACTGTGCTGAGGTTGTTGGAGTCTCTGTGCAGCCAGTTCACTCTCCAGCCATCCCTAAGTCCAGCATGATGCTTTTAACCTGAATAATGCACAGTCCAGGAGAAACTACAAGTGTTGTGAGGTTGGAGGGGAGGAATGGAGACAGCCAGGAGAAACCAGAGGGTGAGTCTCCACGCAGGCATCACTGCAATGTGGGATTCCTTTCCTAAAGCACTGAAATACCTAAAGGGCTCCTTTGTAGCACGTTTGGTGCAGAGGAACATGCTTGGCAACCCAGTCCTTGCCTGCTGCCCTGGCTGGAGTTGGTATGGCCAGCAGAGCAGGGATAGAACCAATGCCACAGCCCCATCCAGGAGACCCAACTGCAAGAAACAGCTCAATGAAAAAATGCCAAAGAGGTGGTTTTTACCTAAATCTAAAGTGTTTGACACATCCCTGGATGAGGAAGGTGTCATGGCTTTTTGTTTCTTGTTAAAAACACCCAAATAAATGCATGTGACAATGTGCATGCAATGGGTGGACACAGAGAGAGTGACCCTCGTGACACAGCCCTCAGTCAGAAGTTGAGTATGGCATTACATGGAGCATGGATGCTGATTATTCAGAGGAGGATTCCTCCATCCAAAGCTGTGCTGTGTGTTATTTCTGTAGCCAGGTGATGCAATGGATTTGCACCCTGAGCTGAGCTCCATTGAGGGGTCCATGAAGCCACTCCAGGGGCTCCAAGGGCAAGGACAGGCTGTGCACCCACCTGCCATCCTAACCCTGAGGGGCTTGTGCCTGTCACCCAGGAATTAATGACCAACTTGAGGAGTGAGATGGCCTGGGAATAGCACAGAGTTGTGCACACACACACTTGTGGCCGCAGCACAAAGTGGTGCAGAAAGGGGTGGCAGAAGGGTGGGAAATAGCAGCCCTGCTTTGCTATAGGACAACTGGGATGTGTGTGTGTGTGTGTGCACACTAGGGCCAGGAGCAGGGGGCTGCAGCATGTTCCCACACCACAGCAGCAGCTGGGAACTGCCTTGCAGCACAAGCCATTCTGCAGCCAACCGTGTGTCCCATTATCTGCTCAACATCCCTGGGTGCTCCAGCTGAAAGGTGAGGAGCGGTGAGTACTCTGTATAAAAGGATGCTCAATATCAAAATCCCCTTTAGAAAAGAAAAAAAGAGATGCAACACAGCACTAGAAAACCTCCTGTTCCAACTGTCCTCCCCTGCGCTCCCCTCTTGGGTTGACTTTGCTATCCCTTTATATTGCCATTTACCTCACTGCTGCCTACAGCCTGTAGAAACACATCCATTTCTTTTTCTTCTTTCTTTTTCAAAACTCTTCCACGAATTTCAACAAGTTCTCCCTGCTGTTTGAAGCCCCAGTGGCAGAGGCAGGGTGTGATGGGATGCTCAGGGCTGGGCAGGCAGCCCAGAACCTCACACATCGGTGCTGATGCTGCGGCTGCGGGCAAAGGCTTCCCGCATGGCCGAGAGCCTGTTGGGGTTGAGTGCCTGCAGGTTGGACACACTCACTGGCATAGCCAGATCCTCCTGGCTCACCGTTTTGTAGCTCACCCGGTCGCCCCCGTTGTGCAGCTCCTCGGGGGGCTCCTGAAGGAAGAAGGTTGGGGGCTCGTAGGGTGCACAGCCAGGGCAGCTGGAGCGGCTCGGGGTGGATTTCTTGGTGAAGGGGGATGAGGGGTAGAGGGATGGGCCGTTGGTCAACACTACGTTGCGGTTGCAGTGGAGCGGAGGGATGTGGGAGTGCACGGCGAAGTCAGGCTCCTCCTCGTCCTCCTCGGATTCATCCTTCTTGCAGCAGTAGTACTGAAATGGGAGGGCCCCAGGGCTGAGCTGACACCCCAAACCTCCCACCCTGTCTCCCAGGGGCTGCTCCGTGTGTGCCAGGCCTGAGGAGCAGTAGGATCCCCTCCTCGTTGCAGAACTCTTTAGGACCAAACTCCCCAGCCTTACCTGGAGCCTACAGTAGCAGAGGACAGCGATGATACAGAGTAGAATGACAGTTGCTAATATTCCACCTGTGATGACCACGGTCCCGGCTGTCATCCGCCCTCTTCTCCATTAACAGCCTGCAAAAACAAGCAAACAGGGGGATGGAGTGTGGTAGAGCTGGTGCTGGGCACTGCAAATCCCAAAAGAACCTCTGCTCACCCCCATTTGCAGTGGGCTAGAAACCAGGAGTTGGGAGGATCAGGTCAGATGCTCCTATAAAATCCATCAGAGGCCCCATCCTTCCTAAATTCCACCTTGCAGGTGCAGGGGATAAGAAAAGCTTCATGTAGTATGTGAGAGATTGAGCGAGCAGCAGCCCTGGGATCACATCAGGCTCTTCTGCATGCGGGAGAAGGGACCCAAGGGAAATAAAACCTTCTGTCCAGAGCTCATGGCACCCAGGGCACCCTCCTGGCTCTCTCCTGACAATGGAGAGCTTCAGTGATAGGAGAAGGAGCATTCTGTAAGGATTTCTGAGCCGTACACATTTTTCTCTGAGCCTATAATCCATTTTCCCCATGAAAACAATGTGGTATTTTAATTTGGAATAACTGGAGCTGCTAAGTGAGCCTTTAATGACTGCAGGGACAGGCACACTCCCCTCCCTGAGCAGCGAGCTCAGGAAAGGGATGTGTCTGCCTGCTGTAGGAGGCACAAAGCTTGGTCTGCATCATGGCCAAGTCAGTATTGGGGTTCTGTGGGGGCACCCCAGGATGATGCTTCTGACAGACCTAGGTGAGCTGCTCACTCCCATCACAGCAAATGCTGTGGCGGGGATACAATGTGCTGGCCACCATGGAGCTCTGCTTGGCTCTGTGCTTGCATTTTGGGGTACCCCCAGCACCCTTCTCTCCCTGGAATGCCCTTTAGAGGAATCTGGGAGCTGACACAGCACTGGTAGCAGTGGAAGTTCCTGCTCCAGGCACTTCTGGGCTCACTCAGAGGGTAGATGCTTTGCATCACACACAGCACAAGTCCCACAATGCCAGCACAGGTCTTGATTTCAGCATCCCTCCCCTGAGAGCTCATGGGAAGGCTTACATTCCCCTCCATCCCATGCAGAATAAGACACAGCTCTTTGCCAAGGGAAGGATGCTGGGGAGACATGTACCTGCCTTCTCACACCTGCCAGCAGCTAAGGAGACAGCAGCACTAACACTGTTCGGCCACTAAAGCTCCAGCAGCCCTTGAGTGCCACAAACATTGGGCTGGGAACAGGAGAAGCAACATAAATTAAGAGAGAAATCATACCCTGACCAC